TTTTCCGATCTCACCACTTGCTGATCTCGTTTCATGGTTCCATTTCAGTTTCTTGTGATCCCATCTTTTTGTTCCTCATGATGTCTTGAAAATTAATTCATATTTCGGTTGTTTGGTTTTGATTTTTTTTTTTGGAAATTGTAATCTATTGATTGAGTTTCATGTGGGTTGTCCGAATCTCCGGTGTGTCTGTTTGTCTCGGAATCTATAGATTTCTTGCGTAAGAAGTCATATTGTGGGAGAATGGTCCCAAGGATTGGATTCCATTGACTTGTAGTTATCGTGAAGAAGAAAACACGACTGATATCGAATAATGGTACGTGAAACGTCTTACTTTCCTTTAAATTTCTGTGTTGTAGGTTGTTTTCATGTTTGATTCTTCAATCTTGGAGTTTTTCAGGGAGCTTGAGATTATTAGTATTGATATCGTTTTGGCTATATTCCTATTGAGCACACTCTGATGCATTTGTAAACTACAGGGAACTCCAGTAAATATCATTGTTGGTTCTCATGTTTGGGTTGAAGACTCAGACGTGGCTTGGATTGATGGTGAGGTTGAAAAAATCAATGGAGAAGAAGTTGTGATCCAAGCCAGAGTTGGGAAAAAGGCAAGTCATCAATCACCAACATTTCAATTTATAATCCCAAGACTGATATACATAAATATTCCTTGTGTAGGTCACTGCAAAGTTGTCAAAGATATACCCAAAGGATGTAGAAGCTCCTGCAGGTGGTGTTGATGACATGACAAAGCTGTCTTACTTGCATGAACCTGGTGTTCTTCAGAACTTAAAGATCAGATATGAACTCAATGAGATCTATGTTAGTTACTTGTTTCTTTCTTACATAAGAATGTTATAGGATCTTTTAACTATTGTTCTGTCTTGATGACTATAAGTTTTAATTTGTTCACGACAGACATACACCGGAAACATCCTTATCGCAATTAATCCCTTTCAACGATTGCCTCACATCTACGATGCCCATATGATGCAACAATACAAAGGAGCACCATTTGGAGAACTAAGTCCTCATGTTTTTGCAGTTGCTGATGTTGCATACAGGTGATTTTCATACATGTATAATCTGCGCATAGATATGTTATGAGCCTAAGACTCCCTTTATCTTTATACACTCAGGGCCATGATTAATGAAGGAAAAAGCAATTCTATTCTTGTAAGTGGAGAGAGTGGAGCAGGAAAAACTGAAACCACTAAGATGCTTATGAGATACCTTGCGTATTTGGGAGGTCGTGCAGTTACAGAAGGACGCACTGTTGAACAACAAGTTCTTGAAGTAATAATGACTTTTTCTTTCTGTGATCTTCTTATTCGATGATCCTACACGAGCTTAATCTACTAACTTGGTTTGTAATATCTGTGTGCAGTCTAATCCTGTCCTTGAAGCCTTCGGTAATGCAAAAACTGTGAGGAATAACAACTCAAGGTAAACCAAAATCTAGTCCTATAAGAGATGTTATATGTTCATTGTTGAGAATTCAGCTGATTGTTTAATATGTTTTGGCTTCAGTCGATTTGGTAAGTTTGTGGAAATCCAATTTGATAAGCAAGGAAGAATATCTGGAGCTGCAATAAGGACATATCTTCTAGAGAGGTCTCGCGTGTGTCAAATCTCTGATCCTGAGCGCAATTACCACTGCTTCTATCTTCTTTGTGCCGCACCGCAAGAGGTAACCTCACCTTCACTTCTTTTGGAATATATATCTTGTTCTCAAAGAAATCGTCCCATAACTTGTATATAAACTAGCAGGAAACTGAAAAGTACAAGCTTGGTCATCCAAAGACCTTTCATTATCTCAACCAGTCCAAGTGTTATGAGCTTGTTGGTATAAGTGATGCTCATGACTATCTTGCAACAAGGAGAGCTATGGATATTGTTGGAATTAGCGAAAAGGAACAGGTTGGTTTCGCGTAAGAAACTACTAATTTCAGTTGTGTATGTACGATACTTGTATATTGATGATGAAATTTCATCTTTTGTATATTATCAACAGGAAGCAATATTCAGGGTGGTTGCTGCAATTCTTCATATTGGAAACATTGAATTTACTAAGGGAAAGGAAGTGGATTCATCAGTTCCCAAGGATGATAAGGCGAAATTTCATCTTAACACAGCAGCGGAACTTCTCATGTATGTAAAACATTTTGTCTCTCTCTGAGAAGACCTCTCTATGTGGTATCAGCTCAAGGAGCTAATTGGAAGTTCTGTTTGCAGGTGTGATTTAAAGGCACTTGAAGATGCGTTATGTAAACGTGTTATGGTCACACCGGAGGAAGTTATTAAGAGAAGTCTCGATCCACAGAGTGCTGTTACCAGCAGGGATGGTCTCGCCAAGACGGTCTATTCTCGATTGTTCGATTGGTAGGTTGCTGGCTTATGAGTCGCAATGATGGATCTTTTACATATTTGATGCTAAGTGAATATCTCGAGTAATGCGCAGGTTGGTAAACAAGATTAATAACTCCATTGGACAAGATGCCAATTCTAAATCTCTCATTGGAGTTCTGGACATTTACGGATTTGAGAGCTTCAAAACTAACAGGTAATGAACCTTTACGTGATCTAAGGCTCACAGATATGCGGTCCTATATTCTCTGCTAATACCGTTCATTCTGCTGCAGTTTCGAACAGTTCTGCATTAATTTCACTAATGAGAAGTTGCAGCAACATTTTAACCAGGTAGGTTCTTGATTGTAGTGCAAAAGGTTTTCTTTTTTGGTTCCATTTGTGATTCTTGAGTTGGATCTTTGAATTCATTAGTTTCTTTTGCTGTTATCAGCACGTTTTCAAGATGGAACAGGAAGAGTACACAAAAGAAGCAATAGATTGGAGTTACATTGAATTTGTGGACAATCAAGATGTTCTTGATCTTATAGAAAAGGTCATTACTCAACCGAGAAAGGACGGTCCTATCAAAATGGATTTCTTTATCTCACTTTCTCTTTTTCTTTTCTCCATCTGCAGAAACCTGGTGGGATTGTTGCTCTCCTAGATGAAGCTTGGTAATGTTAAAGATCAAATTACTTCCATAGATCTTTTTTATGTGATTTTGTTGTTCTCTGAATTACCAAGCCGTGATTTTTCAGTATGTTCCCAAAATCAACCCACGAAACATTTGCAAACAAGCTATATCAGACTTTTAAGACACACAAGAGATTCATCAAACCAAAACTATCTCGGACAGATTTCGCGGTTGCCCATTATGCTGGAGAAGTACGTTTCTTTTTTCCAAGAAAACTAGACACAAGTATCCAGGGACTGTTTCAGAAGTTTAACATGTCTTTTCATTTTATTTTTCAGGTTCTATATCAGTCTGATCTGTTTCTGGACAAAAACAAGGATTATGTGATCCCTGAACACCAAGATTTGTTGGGAGCTTCCAAATGTCCTTTTGTCGTGGGTCTTTTCCCTCCACTTCCTGAAGAAACATCTAAATCTTCGAAGTTTTCATCCATTGGCTCTCGTTTTAAGGTAGGAAAAGCTTATTCTATTGAAAACATTCAGATTGTTTTAAGGAAAAATGTCTTTCTAATATTTTCTTAACTAAAATACGGTTTGGCCTGTGATTGATGCAGCTGCAACTCCAGCAACTGATGGAAACATTAAATTCTACAGAGCCTCATTACATCAGATGTGTGAAGCCTAACAATCTTTTAAAGCCTGCCGTATTTGAGAATGTGAACATCATGCAGCAACTTCGATGCGGTGTAAGTATAAATAAGATAAAATTTTCCACATTGAGGTTGTTCTATACATAATGGGTTATTAGCATGGTTCTAAAAAACATTCTACATGTTATAAATTTCATGCGAGTAATGACAGGACAGCGTGTGCTAATAACTGTAAACCTGTATGTTGTCTTTATAGGGTGTTTTAGAGGCGATCAGAATTAGTTGTGCAGGGTATCCAACTCGTAAACCATTCTTTGAGTTCATAAACCGGTTTGGACTTCTATCACCTGAGTCTTTAGAAGGGAAGTAAGTAGTAAAAAACATTCTCCCCTGCACATCAAATTGTACTGTTTTGCGAGAGTTGAAATCAATATTCCAGATTCTGACTTTTTTCCCTGAACAGCTACGATGAGAAAGTCGCATGTAAAAAGATCTTGGACAACATGGGACTCAAAGGATACCAGGTAAAAATGTTCCTCGAGTATCTTTACTTTAATGAAACCCATTGTATTTAGTATTAGTGCTGCAATGGAATATGGTTCAATGATGGAAGAGTTGTAATTAACAAAATGCAAACTCATTATCTTTCGGTAATTCAGATTGGTAAAACAAAGGTCTTCTTGAGGGCTGGTCAGATGGCTGAACTCGATGCTAGAAGAGCTGAAGTTCTTAGTAGTGCTGCCAAAAAGATACAGAGACGAATACGAACCCATCAAGCTCAGAAACGGTTTATTGTTCTGAGAAAGGCTACAATATCTCTTCAAGCTCTATGTAGAGGTGAGCCATCTAACTTTTACATAAATACTAAAACATTTTTGTAACTTTCTCTCGTTTGTAAATATTGTAGGGAGACTTTCCTGCAAACTCTTCGAAAATTTGAGACGAGAAGCTGCTGCTGTGAAGATTCAGAAGAATGGTCGGAGATATTACTCTAGAAAAACTTACAAAAAGCTCCATGTAGCTGCGCTTGCTGTACAGACTGGTCTAAGAGCAATGTCTGCCCGTAAACAATTCAGATTCAGGAAGCAAACAAAGGCTGCAACAGTTGTTCAGGTTCGTGTTCTTGCTAGTAATTACTCGCTTAAAACGGCGTGTGGAAGTCTCAAACTATCTTAGGTTTCTCATGATCATTAATTAACACATAATTTCCTGTTATTAATGGCAGGCTCAGTGGCGTTGTCACAGAGCAACCTCCTACTACAAAAAGCTTAAAAATGGAGTGATCATATCTCAGACACGATGGAGAGGCAAACTTGCTAGGAGAGAACTTAGGAAACTCAAAATGGTACGACTACTTAATGTCCACTTGCTAAGAATGTTCTTTATTATTCACATTGCCAAAAGCCTACTATTATTAATACATCTGCAAGATCAAGTATTCGAGTTATTGAATAATACTTTCAAGGTTAAGATGCTATTTCGGGTTTACTTTCTCAAACATAATCAACATTTCTATTATCTTCAGGCTTCAAGGGAAACAGGAGCACTTAAAGAGGCAAAGGATATGCTTGAAAAGAAAGTGGAGGAACTCACATACCGTGTCCAGTTGGAGAAACGTCTGAGGGTATCTGCCATAGAAGGATCATTTTAATAGCGTCATTCTTTGAAAAAGATATATAATGTATAGCGCTGAATAAAATTTTCAGGGTGATTTAGAAGAAGCAAAGACTCAAGAGATAGCGAAACTTCAGAGTTCCATGGAGGAAATGCGGAAGAAAGTCGAAGAAACAAATGCGTTGCTTGTGAAGGAACGTGAAGCTGCTAAGAAAGCCGCTGAAGAAGCTCCTCCTGTTATTAAAGAAACACAAGTTTTAGTTGAAGATACCAAGAAAATTGAATCGATGACGGAGGAATTGGAGAGTGTAAAGGTACTGTCAGTGGCTTATAATGGTCAATCAGTTGTCTGCAAATCAAATTTTGAAATTTTCATTCATTGTTAAATTTGTCTTTTACTTAGCATCAGAAATAATTTGTGTTCCAATAGGCTACTCTAGAAAACGAGAAACAAAAAGCTGATGATGCAGTGAAGAAATTTGAAGAAGCTCAAGAGTCTCTTGAAGAAAGAAGGAAAAAATTGGAAGAGACAGAGAAGAAAGGTCAGCAACTCCAAGAATCCCTCACAAGGTTAGAATTTATCATGAAGTATCTCTATAAAATGTCTTCCTATTATGTGAAGTCATGATTCTTCTGGTATTTTAATTGTCCAATGAGCTGAAACTTGAAGTTAATGTGATAAGGATGGAGGAAAAATGCACCAACTTGGAATCAGAGAACAAAGTCTTACGGCAACAGGCTGTGTCTATGGCACCGAATAAATTTCTCTCTGGCCGCTCAAGGTCCATCTTACAGGTAAAATAAGAACAGTGAATGTGAAGTATTAGATCACATGTATCTTTTTTTGTTGATTGTATGAAGTTTTATCAATTAACCATCTGTTTAATAATAACAGAGAGGTTCAGAGAGTGGTCATCTGGCTGTGGATGCAAGGTCAAGCTTGGTAAGTACATTTACCAATTCATTTTTAGTCTCAAATTTCTTTTGGATTAGTATAATGATGGACCAATGGCTTTTGAATTTGAATCAGGATCTGCATAGCCATTCGATGAACCATAGGGATCCCTCGGAAGTGGAGGATAAACCACAGAAATCATTAAACGAGAAGCAGCAAGAAAATCAAGAACTGTTTATCCGCTGCATCGTTCAACACTTGGGTTTCCAGGGGAACCGACCAATCACAGCATGTATCATATACAAATGCCTACTGCAATGGAGGTCATTTGAAGTTGAAAGAACTAGTGTCTTTGATCGCATTATTCAGACAATAGGCCATGCTATTGAGGTTGGCCTTGAGCTTCCTAGTTTATCGGTATTCACTTGTGATTGCAAGTATAATAATTAATGTTGGTAAAAATTGATCTCTCAGACTCAAGATAACAACAATACATTAGCCTATTGGCTATCCAATGCTTCGACGCTCCTCTTACTCCTCCAGCGCACACTCAAAGCTAGTGGTGCAGCCGGAATGGCTCCACAGCGTCGCCGTTCATCTTCTGCCACTCTGTTTGGGAGGATGACTCAGGTAAAAATATATATGGTTTGAGATTCATCAACACTCTGTTTCTCTCAAAATATGTGCTATTGAATGAATGCCTTCATGTTTCTTTATAATATTAATTTTGAGAATATATCCAATAGAGCTTCCGCGGGGCACCTCAAGGTGTAAATCTTGCCTTGATAAACGGTGCTGCGGGAGGTGGAGCGGATACATTCAGACAAGTCGAAGCGAAATATCCGGCTCTACTGTTTAAACAGCAGCTCACAGCTTATGTTGAAAAGATATACGGAATGATTCGAGATAACTTGAAGAAGGAGATTTCTCCTCTTCTTGGATTGTGCATTCAGGTATGCCATTAATTACATCAGCCACCGCATTCACAAGCAAAACGGTGTTGTTCTCGCTAATTATATTGTCTGTCTTCAACTTCAAAATAGGCGCCAAGAACATCGAGGGCGAGTTTAGTGAAAGGAGCATCTCGTTCTGTAGCCAACACTGCAGCTCAACAAGCGCTAATCGCTCACTGGCAAGGAATTGTGAAGAGCCTTACCAATTTCCTCAATACTCTGAAATCAAACAACGTGAGTTCCTTTGCTATATTCCATTTTCCTCTTAAATCAAACAAGTTCCTAGTTTTAAATCTTGTGCTTGTGCTTTTTAGGTTCCTGCATTCTTGGTGCGTAAGGTGTTTACGCAGATTTTCTCATTCATCAATGTCCAACTGTTTAACAGGTTATTTCCAGGACTCATTAGCATCTAAAATCTCATTATCTCTAGCTAGTCTCAAACATTTTCTATCTTATACTATAATCAAATTCTTCATCTGTTTCCCTCAACAGCCTTTTATTAAGACGCGAGTGTTGTTCATTTAGCAATGGCGAGTACGTCAAAGCTGGCTTGTCTGAATTGGAACACTGGTGTTATAAAGCAACAGATGAGGTAATCTGTCACAGCTTTCACTCTGCTACTTATAATTACACAACAAAACTAACTAATAACAACAATTTTGCAGTATGCGGGTTCTTCGTGGGATGAGCTTAAGCATATCAGACAGGCCATTGGGTTTCTGGTAACCTTTCGTTATCCTCTACTCTAAAACCTTAAAGATGGTCTATATCAGCGTAAACCATTACTGATAAATCTTGCTCAAAATGCAGGTTATACACCAAAAACCAAAGAAAACTCTCGATGAGATCAGTCATGATCTTTGCCCGGTAAGTTGATCTTTCCCTGATACAACTCTCCTATATCGAAAATCAGGGGTTTTTAGTTTGCATTTGCTGATAAATTGAAAATTGTGGACAGGTACTGAGCATACAACAACTATACAGGATTAGTACTATGTATTGGGACGACAAATACGGCACACACAGTGTCTCTCCAGATGTTAGTCACCTTAAACTACTGATTGATGATCTCTGTGATTATATCCTTAAATACCTATCTCTCTCTCTTTATACATGTATAGGTTATAGCAAATATGAGGGTGCTAATGACAGAAGATTCGAACAATGCTGTTAGCAACTCTTTCCTTTTGGATGACGACTCAAGGTTACTACTCCATTTACTAATAATACCAACAAGTACAAATTCGTTTTTTTCACAATTGTCTAACTTGTGATGATTGATTGGTTTTTGCAGCATTCCATTCTCTGTTGATGATTTATCAAAGTCGATGGAGAGATTTGAGATTGCTGATATCGAACCGCCACCTTTAATCAGGGAGAATTCTGGATTTAGCTTTCTATTGCCTGTCTCTGATTGAATCCTTTTTGTTTCTACATACCTTACTACACACAAAAGCCATAATATTTTAGTGATAGTGACTTCGCGTTTACACCTCCAAAGTAGGTTGCTTGTGACGCGCGTAATAATAACTTCTACCACTTTTTTTGTGCCCTTGGAAATTTTCTCGCTTACGAGATTTATATTTCTCCTTTTTCTTTTTCACCATACATCTTCATTTGTTTTATGTTAGTTTTTTTTAGTCCGTTGTCAATTACTGTATGAATTTATTCGTTTTGCTGACTTCATTTTAAGTATAATTTGAGATTGCTTGCAACGTAACACTTTTCAATTCAATTTCTTTTCAAAGTAGGATCATCTATGTTGTTTATCATTTGGTAAATTAAGTTTGCATCTATATAAAAATTCCTATAGAATTACTTTTTGAAATTCAAATG